TTATGTGGGTTAGCAGCATTGGGGGGGGGGATTCGCCCGCTCGCACTAGTTTGGGGTCTTCAGAGGATGTCATCGATAAAATTAAGTCAGTCTGGCCAAATGTAAAGATACTATCCATAATACTAGTAAGTCAGAATTTACGAGATCTATCCAATGCAGGTGATTCTCCTTGCAGCCTTCGAAAAAAGCGCCTATTCCTCCTCCTTTCTGGATAATTCATTCAGGGTTGGAAACAATTGTACAGTTCCTTATCGAACGACGTGGAGACATGTCACGAGCTAAAGAGGCAGTTGGAAGCGTATATCGGTTGACGCAGTATAATTACGTCCTCTAGCGGAATAAATATAAATGCAGATAAGCTAAGTCTTATATTTCATGCTTATAACGACAGCATAAAAAGGTCAGCATTACGTGAGGGCAATGGAGAGTATTGTATGTGAAGGAAGAAGGTACGTAGGAAAGTGAGTTGAGGTGAAGGTGTGTTGTGTTGTTAATTCCGGGGGTTCGATGTTGTTGTTTTTTTTTTTGTTTTCGCAGCTGCAGGTGTGGGATGGGCGAGACTGATGGGCTGGACAGATGTCGGCCTTGTTCACATGAAACCGGCCAAACCGCGATTCGGGCAACTCACATTCCTAATATCTGGTCCACGTGCCACACATTCCTTCCAAACCGTGTCCGATCACGATTCTCCTAATCTACATTAATTGTTTTTGATACCTTGCGTGTTATGTCAGAGGTCAACGACCTGCTTGCTGGTGCCCCCCTCCCAGCGTATCTCGGCCGAATGTCGACGTGGTCCCGCCAGAGGAGGTGAAGATCGTCCTAGAATGGACACATCATTCGACCATTAAGTTGCTGCCACGTTAATTTTTGTATTGCATATAAATAAGAGAAATATCACCTCGTAATCCATAACCAGGTGAAGTCACATTGAAATCACATTGGGCTCAGATGCAAATCGCGATGCGGGAAGACAGGTTCACCTTCCGAAGTGGTTTGGCATTGAGGCGCTTTCAATGTGATTTGGAGCGTTCAGATGGGTCCACGTAAAACCGGCTTCGGCGGAAACCATATGTAAAGCGCTCTCACTGACTCCGTCTGAACAGGGCCTTCTTTGGGTATATTATTGGAATGATGCGCATCCTTTCTAAAGGTCTTTGAGACCAAGAGGAATATGCGATGGATGGATGGATGGATGGATGGATGGATGGATGGATGGATGGATGGATGGATGCGTGCATGGATGGATAGTCGGATCTTGCTCTTCTGAAACACCATTTATCCATGCTTATGCTTGTTCGTTTCATTTGCATTGTGGTCTCAAATTTCAAAATCATAGTATTTGCGGGGTCGTGTGGCGTAGCGGTAGCGTGCTCGACTCGGAACCAAGGGGTTCGAGTCCTGACAAGCCACCGATCTTTAAAACTTGGGAAAGGCACTTCACACGACTTTCCTCATTTAACTCAAGTGAAAACGAGTTTTGTCCTGTCCTGTATTCGTCCTCTGCGTTGGTGGCGGCATGAAATAGGTTGATATAACTTGAGTGTGCTGTCATCATGTCTAGTCATGAAATGTTGGAATAAAAAAAATCATAGTTACTATATTTTTACATAACAAAGCTGCTAACAAAATAAACTTAATTTGTCTTAAAAATAACTTGATTTTATTAAATGACAAAAATTCTGTTTAAAAACATGTCTACAATTGCAGTATTCGAGTACTTAAATAAATTGCATAAATTATGTCAACAAGTTTAAGCAGTGTATATTTTTAAAATCTAGCCGAAAAGTGTGATCTTTGCCATGGTTTGACCTGTTATTGACCTCTACATAGCACTTCTCTTGGTGGACTGACCCATGTTCCCATGGGTATCTCTTTAAAACTCCGGAGTCGACCTTCCACTATTTGTACCAAAAGACACCTGACAAATCCAGCTTTGCAGTGGAGGTAAAGGTTTGAGGTTTGAAATTAATGTAAATATGTTTTAAAGTGCTTGTTTCTAGTGGTGTCAGCATAAAATTCCAATGCAAAGCCTTTTTTGACAAGATGGGGCTGTCATTGTGTATGTTACGTTCTTGCGGGTCATTGACCAGTTGGTGGGCTTGACGTGTTTAGAAATGTGATGTCGGAAGTTAGGAATAGAGGCTTTTCACATCCACCATGTTGGATTACAGAATATGTCTGTTAAACACGCCAGGATGCTGCTACTTAATCCGTTTATCTGTCAACATCTGGTCGCCGAGATTCATATGATATTTTTTTATGGCGTCAATAAAAGCCTGGCTAAACATTCTGTCTATCAACGTGTCTTTGGGTCTCAGTGGCCTTGTTCATATGAAACCACCCGAACCGCGATTCGGGTAGCACGAATTCCTCACATCTGGTCCACGTGCCATACATTCCTTTCAAACCGTGTCCAATCACGATTCTCCGAAACTGCTTCCATTGTTGTTTGATGAAAACACGCAAGGTAGCGTGTTATTAATGTCATGGGTCAACGACCTGCTTGCTGATACCCAGCGTACCTCGGCCGAATGCCGACGTGGTCCAGCCAGAGGCGGTGAAGCTCGTCCTAGAACGGACACATTATTTGACCATTACTGCTCTTTAAGTTGCTGACACGTAAAATTTGGTATTGCATATAAATAAAGAAATATCACCCCGTAACCCATGACCAAGTGAAGTCACATTGAAATCACATTGCGTTCAGACGCAAATTGAGATGCGGGAAAACCGATTCGAAACCACCTCTAGAAGATGTTTGGGATCGAGGCGCTTTCAATGTGATTTGGAGCGTTCAGATGGAGCCACTTGAAACCGGCTTCGGGGTAAACCACATGTAAAGCGCCTTCACTGACTTCATATGAACAGGGCCAGTAATGGTTTGCTGTTCTAGCCTTTCACTACTCATTCTGCATCTGACTGCCGTGCCGTATACATGGGGAGAGGCTGGTGAAATTAGCCACTCATCAATACACTTTATTATGAGGAGACAACAGATGATACATGGAGCATATACATGAAAAAATGTTATCTTTGGCTAAACAGTGTAGAACCTCTAAGGTCTTGTGACATGGATAATGTTTAGGTCTGCTTCAACTATCTGGTTAATTTGTCTTTGTGGATTATAATCCATTTTTTGAATGAGTCAATGTATTGATAGTCAACATCCTGACAGGAGTTTCTTTATAATGTTTCCTTACTGTATTATAGGAAGCCGGGAGAAATGCCCATGCCCATGCACATAGGCCGTTTTCTCTTGATAGGCGCATCAAACATCGCCGACAACATTTAAAATTCATAGCATCGATCAAAGCAGTGTTCCAGGTTACCGCACCGAGGTTAGGTGAAAGATAGTAGGTTATTTTACCAATCAATACTTGGCAGAAAATTGCATCCTCAAGATACAACAAAGTCTTCACCAGTACAGTGGTTCCAAATAAGCACACGGTATACATTTCCCTCCGACAAAACTTTGTTGTCATGTTATCTTGAAAGTTCATCAGTAGTTATTATGAAGCAAGGATAGACTGTGATTTGCAACACAAGGAATTTTACCCAAATCACCGACAGTGCAACTCCAGTCTTTGTCAAGGAAAGGGAGATCCACCGTTTCCTTGGCGTAATGTTATGCAGACGACACACGTGACTCGGTGAGCAGTGCACGATATGTTTCAGAATGTCTGTGGAGTCCTCCGTCTTTTCTTGAGGTACTACAAAGAGGCCATCTACATCATGACATTGCAACCATCCCTGAAAGACGCGGGAGAGAGAGCCACAGACTTCCTGTCTGTAACATTCATTGCTCACCGAGCTACAGAGCCCAGTTTCTTTTGTTCGAACTCACAGTTTAAACTTGCTTCATCATATTGTCATGTGTCAGAAATGATTGATACCTGAATGTGGGTCTATTCTGCCGCTGTGGTAGTACGATCCATCTCGGTATTCGTAGCACAACATGTATCACGGTTTTCTGTGATGTCTGCAGAGAAGCTGTGACGAACCAGTCTCTGGTACAGTAACGTGGGTTATTACGAATATACCAGAGACTGAATCATCACAGCCTCTCTGCATTTTATATTAATAGGAGCGAAGGTAAAAATAATCAACTTTGCGTGTTTTTCTTAAAGATCGACAAGGAAATGTTTGCGTTTGGTCGCAAATGATTTTTATACCTACTTTGACAGAAAAGACTTTCCGTCGATTTCTGAACCTATCAGATCTGGCAAAAGGTATACTTAGCCGCCTGTCTTCAAAGATTAAATATAAAAGAAATAGCGCCGTGCATTATTCTAAGGGACCTGGTTATTTAACACAATTGTTACTTAGTATCTGTAAACGTGTGCAAAAGACAAATAAGACAAAAAGTGGTAATTTGTACTTTTTGTACTTTTAACCCAATGAACTATCATATTCTCGTTAGCTAGGGGTGTTACCTGTAGTAAGAAAATTATTTTACTTTTTAACACACAACTAACTTTACTTTACTAAAATTAGTTAACGCCCCTCTAGCTAAAGCTTTTTTCGTCCATTCCGAACCGGAGCCGCGTACTCTAACGTTGGGTAAACATTTAACGAATCACAAAGACCATCAGTACATGGGGACGAAACATATGGTACTACTTATCGACCCCTCCCCATAAGCCTGAAGGAAGCACACACACCCGCTATATATTCCAAACAATGGGGTTTTCTTGACCATTCCAATTTGCCTCATAAATGTAGGGGTGCATCTGAAATGTTAATTTGACCGAAAAGACAGCTACGGCAAAAATATAAATACGTGCATCATCACGGGCATGCCCGCAGACGGCGTATAAAATTACATGTCGATTAAACAAAGAGAACCCCGTGTTCCAGCTGCGAACACGAAAAAACGACTACCCATAATACTCCGTCCGGAGGTCATGACCTCCTTCATAAACATATGGCCATGCGTGACGTGGGTTACGTTTTAGAATGTTTGACTCAGAAGTCTAAACATCATGTTTTATTTACAGATACTAATCAACCCATGCAGAACCGGACGGTGATGGTGTTCATCCACGGTGGCTGGTGGTCCAGTGGAACTGGCGCTATGTATGATGGAACCGTTCTTGCGAGTTATGGCAAAGTCATCGTCGTTACCTTCAACTACAGACTGGGTGTATTCGGTAAGCTAGCTTTCATTATTTAATGTTATTGCTCTGTACTTTCGTGTACATGACAAAACAGTAACACCTAGCTTCAGTACACAGTGAACCAGTAGCTTCAGTGTACAGTGAATCCGACAGAATCGCCCTGCTGAAAGTGACAGACGATTATCGCTAAGTCGGCTGTTGTAAACAAATGGTTGTGAAGGAAGAACTCCGATACCCAATCATTCACCAACCTGATGCAATTTTTACTTCATAATCCAAAAATTGAGATATTGTTTTTGGTGTGTCTGTCGGTGTGTGTTTCCGCACATTTGTAGTCAGTATAACTTCAGAACGCATTTATGGATTGTTATGATATTTGGTATGTTGGTAGGTTGTAGGAAGACAAAGGCCAAGGTCAAATATAGGCCTCCTGGTGGCTGACCTTGGTACTGTAGCAGGACTTCCGGGTTTTGTATCGTTTGTTCTGAACATGCTACGGTATTGACTTTTTGGTGACAGATAGATTTTCCTGTCAGGAATGACGGTAGGTTTTGTCCCCGTTGCATTTTTGGTATGTAGGTAGCGAATGTACATGATTAAATAATAATTAAGCAAATGAAGACTTAAGTTGCATAATCAAATTACAGTGTTTTACATAATAGTTCTTTTATACGTGTAATGTTTGTAATGTATGGTAGGCGGAACATCAACATAAGGTCATTATTTGCATGATGTAAAGTTCTGTCATTTTTTAATGGTGAATGATGGGAATTTCATACCTTGTGACATATGAACGTTAACATGCATATATTATTATAATATACAGGTCATTTGGATAATTAATGAGGACATGTTGAATTGAAATATTGCCAAACGATAGGAATTTCACAAGCAAAGTATTATAATTTGACTTTAGAAAACGGTAATTACGACCTTATTTACATAATCAATGAGACCAATCCCCCAAAAAACATTTACATAACCTCTAGATATGTTATGGAGGTATGAGATCTCCTAATTCTTGTTTACTAATGTTTATTATCATTAAACGATATTACAGACCGATGAAGACGTGGATAAGTAAGACCTACATTCTAAATTGCAGTGTTGGAAATTTAAACAATATCAATATTTCAACTATGACAAGGAGAATAAAGCAGAGAAAAAACGGATATTTCACTTGCTTATTACTTTGTATAATTGCTTTTTGTCCCCTTTAAACATATGATGGCTTTCTGAGGCGGTAGTATAGGTAGCCTCTTGTGCCCTTGTACTGACTTGTGTTTGACAAAATTCAATTGAACTAAATTTGGCAAAGCAAGAGGTAACTTGCAGAACGAATTAGGAAATTCTATAAATCTCATACGTTCAAGGACTGTTCAAACTTAAGGCATATGTAATTTAAAACGAGAGGAACATCGGCAGACACTAATTATGTAATTGAAGACCTAATGTGCGTACTCGGTGAGAAAATGCTATAATTCTATACTGGTTACTGCCGGGAATTTCACAGTTAAATGAAGATGATAATTTGTAAATATAACTTATTGAAATCAGGATCTCATTTCCATTATTCAGGAGTAAATGCTATAATAGTTTTTTTGTTAAAGGTCTGACGCGCCGATATTAAGCAACAGGATATAGAACTTATCCTCGTGATGGTGGCAAGGTAGAGTGGGTAGAAACATTAAGAAACATACCTTCCCGACGAACGACTGGCTGATTTGCATGTTTTTTAATTTCGCATAGTAATCCGTGCTTTTCTTAATAACAGTCGTGAAAATGTTAAACGGTCCATGATTTTAGTCAACAATTAATCAGCTAGCAGGATCTATGACATTTGGCATCTACATGATGTTCTCAACTGACTAAATAGGTCAACATTACGTGCAGGTTGATAGAAAATCAACGATGAATTGTCCCCATTGGCGTTCTGTAATCACCATTTGGCAAGCGACTCTGTATATTACATGACCCTAAACTGTTCCCTGTGCGTATTACCGTTGCATAATAACATGCAGGGTTACAGTTAATGACACGTTACGAGTGATCTTTAAAGGGTGGTTTACCAAGAAATGAATCCGATTTTCTCACACTGGATGATGTTCCGTTAAGATCTTTCGTTCGTGGTTTCAGGCACCAGATTAGACAGATTCATAAACAGATCTGCCTGTGCAGGGATGGGGGGGGGGGCAGACGTTTATGGTTATACCTCTGGTTTTCATCTCATTATTCCGCCGTCGTGGCGCCACAGGCACTGTTTTCTCCACCCCTTTCGTTTTTTTCCCTTGGCATTTCATTTAGTGTCAAGCTGGGCCATTCTCTGATGTCATCCTCCAATCCTTTCCGTTGCCTCATCATCTCCCGTCTTCTCTGTACTGTTCATTCACGAGTTTCCCATCGCCAGAACACATGGCTAAAACATGGCACTAAACCTCATTTGCATAGAACAGGACGCCATCGGAATGATCCTGTTGACGTTTAACAACTTGCTTTTGTTTTGAGGTGTTGGGGCATTTTATGCTTAACATTAATTAAATGACTATGAGTCGAATCTGACAACAAATAGATAATAAAGTTTTTGTGTTCTTCTTAACATGGAACACGTGGTTTGTAACGTTACTGCATCCTGCCTACCTGCCTAAGTGCCCAGGCCAGGTACTGGCCCCTTGCTCCCCTCCGTCAGGTTCCTCCAACCAGTTCTGTCAAGAGCGATAGCCTCAGCTACACTTAGAGTAATCCCTGTGTTACAGCATCAGTATAGCGTTATTAATATAACGTTACAAACCACATATTCCAAAAAATTTACTCTCTATTCCTTGTCAGATTCAACCCATAGTTATTTAATTAACGTTGCGCATAAGTGGCCCGACACCTCAAAACACACTGAAAAACAAACTGTTTGACTTCAACAGGATCATTCCGATGCCTTCCTGTCCTATACAATTGAGGTTTAGACCCCTGTTTTCGCAATGCATTCTGGGGATGAGAAACTCGTGAATTTCGCTCGGTACTGATGACCGTCACTGTCTGGGTGGACTGAATAAGGACGAATTAATGCATAATCAATTGAAAAATGTGTGAATAAGATCTTTGAACAAAATTTGTTTTGTAAACCATAGTGGAAATACATTCTGTTGAGATCAACCAAGCATCAAACGCGTTTGTTAAGGCCACGCAAGTAATCTTTATGAATGGTTGTAGCCTGATTTTGGAAAGAAAATTCAAGAAATTTAGTTGCCCTCTGAGGGTGGCCGAAAATGGGCAAAGCTGTCTGTTGCCATGTCGGAATGTGTCTGTTGCCTCGGGGGTTCCGGTCAGTACCTGTCTGTCGGTTCCCGAGGGCGTGACCGATCCACCCCCAGCCACAGGGTCCTGTCCTGTCCTACACCTCTTCTCCTCTACATCTCTTCGTTTCTGACTTTCTCTTATTACCTCCGGGGGAGGATATATCCTTCCGCGGAAAGGTTTTGTGGGAGATTTAGATTTTCATGTTCGCAGCTGTTTCTCGCGTTTGGGTGGACGGATTCTTTTGAGACTCGGTATATGTTTTGCTATTGGGCTGTAGATGATGCACGTTCTTTTGTTTTTATTGTATATATGTTTTCGGGCCTGAAAATGGTGCCTTTTGGTGGCCACAAAACACCCCTTTGAGCGTGAAAGTGGTCGCAACCGTTGACTTTTTGGCATGTTTAAGCTATCCTCGGTCTGGTCCACGTATATGACCCCTCACACAGAGGGAGGGGTGTCCGGTCTCGATAAATTCTTTGTTTAAAACCCTATATAAAAATATACAATAAAAAGCCCGGAGGTATAAAATCTCAGATTTTACTTGTTACCTGATGTTGAAGACGCATCTGAGGCAGTTGTGGACGAATGTCTGTATCCTGTGCTGGGTTGTCGTGTTCATTCTCCATGCCTCTCATCCGTAATTTTCAACTACCAAAGTCGCCTTCATCAGGATAATTAATGACCAGTTACTTCCGAACGTAAACCCGTGAAAGTTGTGACACATTACCTTATTCAAAGTACACTTTCCCGGGCTACTTTTTTACCTCACAAAAAGTAGTCCTTGAAAATTTGATCCTATTCATTGTGTTGCAATAAAGTTGATTACTACCAACACAACATTAAACGCTTTCGATCCGCAAAACATCTACAGTTGGCACACCCTTTGATTTTAGATCTCATTTATATTTTACTAAGTACTGCTATCATTACTATTATTATTACTGTTTCTAGTACTGTTTATACCTATGTTATCGTAGTTATTACATTTGTTTTTGTTTTACTACTTACCTTTAAGATTATTGTTAGTTATTATTTGTATTTGTTATTAGTTGTATTTTAGATTTATGTATGTTTTTATCGGGACAGGGGGCGTGGAAAGGGCATCTGCCTGTTCCCCCTGTCCTGTCCATGTGGCAAAGTTGTAATAAATAAATAAATGATAAATAAAATGAACCTTCTCTTCTGCAGGTTTTCTGAGTACCGGTGACGGTAGCGCCATGGGGAACGCCGGTCTCTGGGATCAGGTCCGGGCGCTGGAGTGGATCCAGAAGTACATTAAGTACTTTGGAGGAAATCCGAACAATGTCGTCATCTTCGGTTCCGGCTCTGGTGCGGCTTGCGTTAATCTGCTGATGATGTCTCCAAATGTTAAAGCAAAAGGTAAGGTACAGGAGTCTGTTTGATTTAGGCCGTGTTTATGTGAAGTCACCCAAACCGCGATTCGGGTAACTCACATTCCTCACATCTGGTCCACGTGCCATACATTCCTTTTAAAACATGCCCGGTCACGATTCTCCGAAACTACATTCATTGTTGTTTGATGAAAACACGCTAGGTAGCGTGTCATTATTGTCAGAGGTCAACGACCTGCTTGCTGGGGCCCCCCTCCCAGCGTATCTCGGCCGAATGCCGACGTAGTCCCGCCAGAGGCGGCAAAGCTCGCCCTAGAACGGACACATTATTTGACCATTACTACTCGTTGCATGCTGACACGTAAAATTTCGTATTGCATATAAATAAAGAAATATCACCCCATAATTCATGACCAAGTGAGGTCACATTGAAATCACATTGCGTTCAGACGCAAATCGCGATGCGGGAAAACCGATTCGAAACCACCTCTAGAAGTGGCTTGGGATCGAGGCGCTTTCAATGTGATTTGGAGCGTTAAGATGGAGCCACTTGAAACCGGCTTCGGGGTAATTGGAGCCACTTGAAAAGGGCTTCGGGGTAAACCTCATGTTAAGCGCCTTGGGTGACTTCACATAAACACGGCCTTAGATCGCTGCGTTTTTCATGCCCGCGTCAACACGGGCTATAAAATTTGAATATGAGTTTTATTACAAACGAATTCATAAGTGGCATCCTTCTATCTCGAGAGATTCGTACTTTATGCGAATTTTATGACACCATTAGTCAAAATCTTAAATGCCGGATCACAAGTACATACTTGGCTATGGTTCTGAATAACTACTATGTATTCTTTACATAAAATTAAAACGTCTATATGGACGTCATTAGTTAATATTAGTGAATTTTTTAGCTGTAACATTATGTTAAAAATACTATTATCAAAGATTCAACATTACCGTCCAAGAGAGCTTAAATATGTATGACGCCATTTTATCTCATGGTATAGAGTTGGAAAGTCAAGTCAAGACAAGTCATGATATCATACTTGTCCAGCCATTGTGCACCTTTATTATTCTTACTCGTCTGATATCATTCTATTCTTCTATTACTCGTGTACAGCATTTCCAAAAGAAACGTCTAACCGAAGAAAATGTGCATTATTTTTACGAGGTAGCTGTGGTAATTTTGCGTCAAATTTAACACTCCCGTGTACTTTTGTCCAGTGCCCTATTAGTTGAGTTTCTATTTGAGGAGAAGCTTTATCGTGAGGCAGTTTGTATTGTTTTGTCATTGTGGTTGTTTTTTCTCAATACCTGCAACATCTGTTTTCTTATTCTCTTTAGCTCTGTTTAGCCGAGGTATTTCCCAAAGTGGGACGGCGATGGCCACGTGGTCTATCAGTAGATCAGGGCGTCAGTACGCCCAGACTGTAGCCAAGGCAGCAGGCTGTGATGTCAACAACAACACGGGGGCTATGGTGAACTGTCTCAGGGTAATCAATGGAAATACCCTGGCGAACATTACCCGATACGACCCAGAAAAGTCACCGTACTATCGGGCATTTTCTCCGGTAGTGGATGGGATTCTTGTACCAGACGACCCAAAGAAGTTGCGTGATTCACTGCCGTTCACCACTTATGACTACATGGTCGGTGTGGCTGAGAGCGATGGCTTCATGTATGTAGAGGGAATCGATGGCATCTACGATGGCATAGACCGGAATAGATTTGAAAGTGTAGTTCGAAGTTTCGTTCAGGATGTTTTCCAAACTAGACTTCAAGAAATAATTGACGCAGTTACTTTCAGCTACACTGACTGGGGGGACAGAAACAATGACTTGAAACGCAGGAAAAGCACAGTGGCTCTCTTCACGGATTTCTTCTTTGTCGTTCCTGCAATAAAAACTGTGAACTCGCACTCGAGGAACTCCCCCACAAAGAAGACGTTCTTTTATACATTCCAACATCAGAGCGAAAACACGTCTGTCCCGGATTGGACTGGAGCGATTCACGGAGAGGAACTGCCGTTTGTGTTTGGAGCGCCCATCGCCAACACGCAGCTCGTGTCTCCAGATGGTTTATACTCCTTCACGTCATACTCCAAGCAAGAGGCCATGTTGAGTGTAGCGATCATGACCTACTGGACCAACTTTGCAAAAACAGGGTAGGTACAATAAACAAAGGTACACACAGATTATTATCTCACCTCGTGACATAGGTGTAAATCATTATTGTTGACATTGTGTTTTGCCACTGTAATCTTACTTCTGGAATCTTTCTACTTAATTTTCGCTCTCCTGATGACAACCTCTCTGTTTCCCGTTTTCCTTCCGTTATTGTAACTTCTTCCCTCTTCTTTGCTCTCGTCGACGCGGCAAGCTTTACAAATACATCTACACACTTCGCTATCCAACCAATAGGCTAAAGGATTGCAGCAAAAATTAAATCTATTATCAACTTGCGACTTCATGCCCGTTTCAGGCACCCAAACTATCCCACTCAGGTCCGTTGTAGGTGATTGAGTGGTACATGTGCAGGTACATGTATCATGCAGGTCAACATGTGCATGTGATATGGAATAGGAGCGAAAATGCATTAGTCTATAGGGTAAGTGTCACAGAGGCCAAATTTGCAAGTAACCACGTTATTGATATTGACGCTTTAAAAGATAATCTCAAACGTTTCCTTGTTTTCAATGCACGTGTAGAGTTCAATTTGACTTTCGCCCGGCGCGGCAGCAATGTTTATTAACCATTTAATATATCACAAGCTAACCAATATAACTACGGAATGCGCGTAAGGGAATATCTCCCGAACTCTACTAATATGTAGTTCTTTCCAGGAATCCCAATCTGCCAGAAACGCAAAAGGAGATTTTTCTCAGCACCAAACCCAACAAGTATCAAGGTGTAAATTGGCCTCGGTACATATATGAAAGGCAACAGTACATTTACATGGGCATGAAGCCTCGGATGAGGGAGTACTACCGTGCTCACAAGCTGGCCTTCTGGATGGAATGGCTGCCCAGCATCGTGAGACCCAGAACCTCGCCAACTCCCTCCATCGACCCTTACCGGCCAGGATCAGCCATTTGTCCCAACTTTGCCCCTACTAAGGGGCCGTGGAAGCCTGGTCCTGGCATTGCAGGAATAAACGATCTGTTCGGCACACAACCACCTCAACAGGACCACTCTAGGGAACTCAGTATAACCATAGCCGTGGGAACTTCTTTACTACTCATCAATATCATTGTATTCGCACTCCTATACTATAGGAGAGATAAACGGAAACGGAACGACGAAAAGGACACTCCTGGACTTATGCATAAAATGCAAAGCAATCACTGCAGCAATTCTCCCACGATTCGGATTGTGGAAATGAGGTGAGTGTTTAGAACATGGTCTTTTCATTACGCTTGTAGAAATCCTATGTAAAACACGATATTTCACTGTGCTCGCCTGTTTTTCGTTTGTGGATGGCCAATTCCAAGACAGTGATGTGACCATCATGATGTAGTATAACCACTATTTTAATGTCATGCTGGTTTGTAACGGGAACAGACGTGGCTCTTTTATTTTTGTATCTTATGTACCTTACTAGTAACAAACTAACCTTTAAGTTGTCAGGTAGCTGTGGGCTTAGTTTCTTTCCTATAGACATCATCATCATCATTACCTATAGACAGATGCAATCTTAAAACTGCCTGCTTCTTCTCATTAAGACATGGCAACTATGCATAATACCGTAAACAATAATTTTCGCTTAAATTTTCCAGCTCCTTGATTCTTCGAATTCTATACAGCATTTGATATTTGACTGTCTGCATTTTATGTTTCCGACGTAATGGCAATTTACCTTGAAAAAGCTATAAAGATAGCCGTAAATTCAGTGATTCAATGTTTTTATGTGTAGGGCCAACGCAGATAACAAGTTGATAAGACAAGGTGTGTTCCTATCATTAACATGTAATAGTAAGACAATTTCTTTCCTAGGCAGACAGCACTTTGAGCCACAATGAAGATAGCGGTGGCCTACACCACACATGGCGCCAAGCCACTGTACACAAGCATTAACAACAGAATGTTTTTCCTGCACAGGTCATCAACATCCAGTCAGGCATCTACGCTCATACGCGACGATCACTGCCGAAACAGCATTACGTCCTCAGAACTGTATGGTCTAAATACCTCTAAAGAACAAACATCCTCCCTTTAGCTTTAAAACGCAAAGGATTTAAGGTCTTTGTTTGACCGAATGCACGGCATGGTGCGTTGTCAGGTCATGTTAATATGAAAATATAAAACAATTATAGTGACTTAAACGTATGGTAGACGTGATTAGAACTATCGAGGAAACCAGTCCGTGGGACTTGTATAAAACGTGACTCTTTCTACAATATTCAAGAATGCTCAGTAATTACAAATGTTGCTGGGGTCTGAGTCCAACCACTAGATATATCACTAGTCAAACCAAGACCTGCATACCGCGATCCTTATACAATTACCAGTCCAACCTGAATGTCTTTTCGAAACTTTCAATGGGCTTTACTTTTTTTGTTAGCTCAAGAGCAAAGTTTGTCTTTCACTGCCATCAACCTAAGCTAGATTTCTGACACATGCCAGTTTTCTATTAAACCAGAAGACTGCATCCCATTATAGACACTCCTCTGCTTGATCCGTCATGGTTCTAAATCGACATTATATCAAACTATCAGAAAATGCTGAGGCAGACGTCACAGTCATTTGTTGAAGCTGTTTTAAATGCCTTCAATGTTCTGTAACAGCATGTACCTGTGCAGCTTTGAAACTAAAAATGCACGTATGCGAGCAACTTCAGTACATTTCGCTCTCTATTCCTTCTTGTGAAAATTTTCTGTTCCAAAAGCATCCCCTGCTAGGATGGTATATTCCAAAATTCTGTATGCCCAGAAATGGATTGTCCCAAAAATCAACGTAGTTTTTAAATGACGCCGCGTCTTCCAAAGAAAGGCACAGAATAACTCTTGAACAAATACAAGAAATAGCCCTGGGGAGACAAAACATCATTTGCTTATGTAGGACACTCATGACGCCAAAAATTACAAATGTTCAATTTTGACCCGACATGCAACATTGGCCTTTTAAGGGCATCCTCAAGCAATCTATATCGTCCATTCAAGAACCTTACATCATTTTCGTCAGAAACTAGAAAAAAAACACACCATACCATTTCAAAGTTGTGTATACTTTGGATGGTGAGTTTAATGCCGAGGGTACTCCTTTAACAAACTACTGGTTATTTGACTTTAATGCAGTGATATAAAGGCCCAAATATGAATGCCAGGCAGAACAAGAATCAGAAAGAAAGCAATACAGATATCTCTTCCTAGTTTGGGGAGTATTTGTTTACCAAATGAAAGAGACTTCTAAAATATCAGTTATGTGAATATATTAAAACGGAGGGTTTTCGTCTTCTTGTACAGATAGTAGAGAAAACTGGTCAGATTTGTACATTGATTTTTATGACATTTTCAGACTTGATGAGAAAGTACGGCTGCCTAGCACCTTTCGTCCTAGGACATTCCGAGCAGGGCGACTTTCTTGCAGTGAGAACGCATGTGTGTTTGCTAATCTTGAAGATCGTCTACCTCTTGTGATAGTATCAAATGCAATAAAGTAATTCATATTTTGCACAGAGCCTCTAACTTCAACTGTGGAATATCTAAGTATTACAAGTCCCAATGATTGGGACGGATGTCTCAAAGCTAGCTCCAACGGGCGCAACCCAGGAGTCCATTGCCCGTTTGTGTCCCTCATGACAGGCTTGTGGGAAACTAGTCAATAGGCTCCAACCGTTTTTAAAAGACGTTTTCAACAAAGGATCTCCAGGACACAACTACTCAAGTTAGGTAAGTCTAGACCACGTAACGACACGCCTTCCTGTTATTACCCTTCTAGTACCATCCATAACCAAGTGAAATGCATTATTGTCATTCCCACAAAATAACTTTTACCTTTACCCTTTGCTACCAACCGCCCTATTCTGTATGTGAAGCCATTGCAGGTGTCCCTTCCCTTCTGTGATCCCTCTGTATCACAACATTACACGATACATCCTGTCTTGGCCAACAGTCACGTGATGTAATGTTATCTCAAAGCTCTCTGTCACCCGTTCTTAGTGTCCTATTGGTTGGATACCGAACATATACACGCCATCAACATTTCACCCTTCTCTTCCTGTCCAACATACTAGAATTATAACACGACATTTATATGGACGAACATCGCAACTATGCAAACCTCCCAATCTTCACATCGCAAATTAAAACAGTATTGCTAGACATCATACAACACCTGTATTTCCTTTCCTTTTAGATATATGTTTAGTTGTAAAATTTTACTCAAACGTATAAATATCGTTTGAAAACAGTTTTCCAATTGAAGAATAACTTATCAACAAAAGACTATTTTGTACTCAATGTGATTGTCAGGAAGCCTTGTCATTGAGTAGAAATGCCCACCTTTCTGCCTAAGATGATTACTCAACTTGCTTAAAGTAGTAGAGAAATAATGTAATAGACAAATTTCTTACTGGCAGTATTTATGTAACCTTTCACGTCACAGGGACGCCAACCTCCCTATCGCCAATTCACAAAAGTGTTTAAGCAAGAAAGATGGAGGAAAGTGTTTATTTTCCAAAAGTGGGCCTACTACCTGGAACCGTTACACACCAGGTGGCCGCCAGTACATGTATGTGAACAAGGACTCCAAGTTTGCAGGGGACACATTTTACAGAGCCATGAAAGTCGCTTTCTGGACGGAGCTTGTGGAGAGTTGGCAAAAAACTCCCTATAACGCTTCTAGACCTCCCCCAGCCTCGTCTCCCCTCGGCCCGACCTGCCCGCCTCGCAGCTTCCCCGGAGACAGGGGCAGAGTCTGGGTACCGAACCCAACCCCGAGGATTCCCTTCCCGACCGCTCCACAAGCACGAAAAACAGGAAACAACAACGTCGGCCTCGCCATTGCCATTGGCCTCTGCCTGCTCGTCATTAACATCATAGTGATGGTGGTGTGCTACATACGGTGCCGGTCCACTGACAAGGAGACGGAGGAGCCCACTATACCAGATATCAACACAGACAGCCCTACACTTCATGCACCACAGTTTGGGTGAGTAGTCCTTCGCCTATACTTACTGGTATGATGTATCTTTAGGTAGATTTAATTGAACCCTCACGTTTATCGGTAACAATCATTTACCGCTATGTTTGTTTGCTCGTTTGTTAATTTGTATACAAGTAATAAAATGAATATAAGCACAAGAAAGATATGCTGAGGGAAGGCCTGTCCGAGATCTTACCCCGACATTATTTTTTTACAAATGATAATAATAGTAATAGTAATAAATCAAAAGTAATAGTGATAGAAGACAACAAATATTTATTAAGCAACGCTACTATGATATTAATGTCGTAACACATTACATGAGTTAGCAGGTTTTATTTAAGTACAAAACATAAGCAAATGATACCAAAGGGCTATACAACATCTGGGCGTTTAATTATTACTGAAACTTTACGGAGCTCATCCGGGTTTATTCATGGTTTCCATTCAAAGCTACAAACCCCCAAGTGTAGCGACCGTCTATTCAAGACCGTCTATAGCAAGATTCCTTCAGCTACAAGACCAACTGAGTTTTGTTTCTTCAAATTCAGGCACAATTCACAAAAAAACATTATGATCACATTACTGCACATAATCGTAAAAACTGCTGTTGGCAGAAGAAAAAAGACATTTAGTACACATGAATCAATGTTCAGAAAAGTTCTGCAACGGTAATTACACGATGCAAGGTGTTTCAATTCCGCTCACGCAAAGTCACACGGGTCAATCTGGAGAAAACGGATGCGTCACTTTCGACGCGGAAGAATACCTGGAAGTAAGGCTAGACAAGCTTCGGCTTGTCAGGGTTTGGAATCATTTTTGTTACAGGCTAATCCTGGGAAAAATGAGATTGTTAGGTTAAATACACAGTCGATACGATACAGATTCTAAAAATTGGTATCATGGAATATTGGCTCATACACTCATACATTTAGGTACAAGTTGTCAAAGTTATGTAATCATAATACTGTGTGTAACGTTGGAGAAATTCCAAGTATTTTTACCGAGGTAGTGCAGACATTTTTAATGAGGTAGTGCTTTTATAGGTGCTTTTGTCATCAAAGTTTACAGCCATGTCTCACGTGACGCTTGACACGTACTGACTTTACAGAATTTCGATCGCCGAGGGAATTGCTCCATGAACTTCAAAACTATGTATGTCAGAAATGTATTTTATCCGCAACCTTTTTAACACAGAATAGACACAAAAAAATGTTTTAAATAGAGGTGTGATATTCTTGTATGTGGTGGCCCGCATCGCCGGACGATGATGATGATTCTTGTATGTATATTTCCTGCAAACGGAGTCGTAATTGATCTGTTAACATATCAACGCGTCCATACATATCCATCCAAAATGAAGTAGAGGTCTTCGGGTAGTTTTTTTTTCTAAACAGCGGCAGTACTTGATAAGTTTTCTTTCGGCATCAATCATGACTGGAAATAAAGGTTCCCAATTCCCCGACAATACTGTCATTTTATAATTCGAATCCACACCAAGTACAACCTTCTGGAAATCCATGCCAATGATATGGAATTCTGTGATTTGTGGTGGAAGAGTTACATTTTCTATTGCAAAGCTGTCTTTCTATTTTAAGGCCAGATGCAAGCCTTAGAAATTATTCTTATCTTTTTTCTGTTTTAATTCTGATTGACACTGGTTTAAGCGACGGTCACAACTCGCCGTGCGTGCTTTTTGTCCGTACGTTTTTGTCGTGGCTACGTCTGCTACGTTTCTTCTGCAAACGTAGGGTGGCCGGCCGAGGGAGTACGTCACTCGCACGGTTGCGCAAGGTGTACGTACGTGGAGTGCACGACACGCCTGGCCGTCAGCGGTTGCTTGCATCGTACGTTGCGAAAGTGGTGAGTGAGTTTTACGTGCTTACAACGTACGATCTCTGTGCGATTGCCACGTTGCAGCGTACAGGCCGCACCTACACGTGCGGCGCACGCACGGTTTCCTTACTCACTCGCACGTTGTAAGTGCGTGCACCTCCTGTTAACTATGTCATCACTAGCCGCCCTGGTGTCTTCCGCGGCCCGTTTCTTTGGGTCTTGTCTGGTAGTCTTCTTCTGAGCCTTCCTGGGCATCTTGGAGACGAGTTGGCAGTCGCCCGTCAAGTCGTCTTTATATACTGTAGAAATCAGGTGCGTTGCACGTGCGTTGCACGTGCGGAGCACCTGGTATGGTGCACGTGTGTTCTGCGTGGTCATTGAGCAGGTCAACTGGGAAGTGAGGAGTAAGCACGGATGACGCAAGCACCGTGCGTGGCACGCACATGCTTCGTGCGCTGTCCGTACAGCAATTGCACCTGAGAATAGTGAAGTTAGACTCACGGAGTCCGTACGTTGCACGCTCATAGGCTGTACGGGGCACGCGCGTCGCACGTACTCGCACGCACGGGTGGTAAATCCGCAGACCGCACGTAGAAAAAGTATTACATGCACTTAAAGTTCTACGGCGTGTCTGCGTGCTCCCAAATCCGTAGGATTCCGTACGGAGGTGGTACTCACCACGCACGGATGCCGTGCGATTGCCCACGTTTTTGCACGTAGACAGCACGCAGAAGCACGTACGGCGAGTTGTGACCGTCGCTTTAGTGTGTTGTGTTCCATAATACTTTACACTAGGCATGACTTGCTTTCAAGATGGTATGACAGAAAAAGGTCTGCAGATGTTTCAGTTGTTTTTGTCCTCATCTTTGTCTAAGGCGATCACATAAGCTCTTACTTAATAACATAAAGGAGGTCATGACCCCCGCGTAGTATTAAAATTGGCATGGCGTAAACGGTTGTACATTCGCAGCTGTAAAGATTCGGTCATAACCCGCCGTACGTGCTCCTGCGTGCTGTCTACGAGCAAAAACGTGGACAAACGCAGGGCATCCGTGCGTGGTGAGTACCGCCTCCGTACGGAATCCTACGGATTTGGGAGCACGCAGACACGCCGTAGAACTTTAAGTGCATGTAAAACTTTTTCTACGTGCGGTCTGCCAATTCACCACCCGTGCATGCGAGTACGGGCGACGCGCATGCCCCGTACGTACCGTACGAAAGACGCACGTGTGAGTGCGGCCTCCTTACGGTAAAGTTGCAATCGCACAGAGATCGTACGTTGTAAGCACGTACAACTCACCACTTGCGCAACGTACGATGCACGCAACCCCTCACGGCCAGACGTAACGTGCAGACCACACTCTTACACCTTGCGAAACCGTGCGAGTGACGTGCGTCGATGCCACTCCTTCCCCACGTTTTCAGAAAAAACGTACGGACAAAAAGCACGTACGGCGGGTTTTGACCGAGGCTTTACTCACGATTCCTGAGCCGTATGAGGACGTAGTTTGACCTGTCGTCTGCTAGTATGGTCTAGATGATGCACGTTTTTTTTTTCACCATAGTGATTTTTTTCATAGGTTATTTTTCATTTTCATTTATTTATTTTACCAGCAGAATACACTCAGGTTAAATTAAAAAAACTGTTTTTCAGATAGTGCTGGGCATACAAGTACAAATACTGACAAACATTATACATTACAAGAAACAGACATAATCCAAAATGACATATGGTATAACAAAGGAACTCATTCATTTTCCACTATACATTCATAACATCACAATCCCTGACTGAATTGTACCAGCCCCACTGTCTGACGTTGCTTAAGTGACAAGTTATTCCACAGTTGGGGGCCGTAGAATCTTAAGCTCCCCTTGTAGCCGTTCAAACTTGCTACAGGGCAGTTCAACAGATAAGGGTCCCAGTCCGCAAACCGTTTGACAGCCGTGCGAGTGCGAGCTCTTATGATCGGTGGAGACGTCCACCTGAACATGTCAGAGATGTACAATGGAACTTTACCTCGCACAGCATTGAAAACTGAAACAAGACTGAGTTTTTCTGTTCGATGTCTCAGAGACACCATCCCTGCCTCCGCTAACAGTTTGTCAACTGGGACATGATCTCGAAGTGTATAACCTGTGATAATCCTCGCAGCTCTACATAACAGTCTATCTAATTGCAACAATTGCGTATTCTTACCCTGTACAAGGCTTGGCAACCACGCTGCACCACAGTAGTCTACATGCGACAATAACAATGTTTGACACATGGTGTTCAATATTTCATTTGTTACAAAGGGTCTTGCACGTCGCATTGCACCAAGGCCACAGAATATTTTCTTTGTGATATTTGCTATATGAGCTAACCACTGGAGAGTGGGATCCAGAGTAATACCCAAATATTTAAAGTTGTAAACTTGCTCATATACACATGATTTATACCATCTGTTATCTGCACGGTTCTCCCAACATGCCTCAGCTTCTGTGGTACACCGAATAACATAGACTTTGTCTTATCAGGATGTAGAGAGAGTCTGTTGTCAGTTAGCCACTCTGACACTCTCTTCATATCCTGAGAGACAGCCTCCTCACACTCTTTTACCGTGCCCGCCGAGTAATACAGCACAGTATCATCGGCATACATGTGTATTTTACATTTCTCTAGAACCCGAGGAAAGTCGTTGACATATAGGCAGAAGAGCAACGGCCCTAATACGCTCCCCTGGGGTACCCCGCAGGTGACCTCAGCCTTCTCCGAAGTTTGACCTTGCAGATTTGTACATTGTAAGCGACCAGAAAGATATGATGTAAACCATTTTGTTACTTCCCCGTCAAAACCCAGCTTCTGGAGCTTACCCAACAGAATGGCACGGTTAACAGTATCAAATGCCTTTCTTAGATCTAGGAAGAGAGCAACTGTGACTTGACGACTATTACTAGCAGACCTAATGTCCTCCACAATCTTCAGAACCGCAGTGGCTGTACTATGATGTCTCCGAAACCCACTTTGGTACACCGTAAGAAGGTTATTCTTGGACATGTAGCATGATACTTGTTTAGCTACAAGTTTTTCCATGACTTTGGATGTTACACTCAGCACAGAAACAGGACGATAGTTGGCAACATTAGTCCGATTTCCGGACTTGTAAATGGGAGTGATCTGGGCCGTC